AGGTCCGGGACTATCTTGTAGAAATGTAATGGCATGTGTGTTATATGAGTTATTGAGTTCAACTTTTATTTTGTATTTGGTATGTGTTCTTTAATTTTCAGTAAGGGAGGAAATATAATGTACTAGCTATAGAAATACAGAATGACAGATGACAGAAAATATAGGTTAGAAAAATGAGCTTGTGTAATTTGAGAAACTAACAATATTACCTACCCCAAACAAGACATCACACCATACATACTTAAAATACTGAGTCAAGTACTTGGCAAATCAAGTACTAGAGTCAAGTACAAGAATATACCAATTACCGACAACAAAACTCCAGCACAAATGGCTTATCTCAACAAAATGACAGTTGAATTGAAACGACGCGTTGAAGCTGGCGAAATCTGTCTGACAATCAAGTACATTCGAGGAATCCCACATACAGAGCTGTTCAAAGTACTCAACAAACGTACTTGAAGTACCAAGTACAAAGTACTTCTTTAAATAGTGTTCAAGTAAAATACCAAGTACTCCCTTTTACTAAAAGTACTTCAAGTCTCAAGTACTTTCCTCATGTACTTGAAGTATAATCCAAGTACATTACTTCAAGTACTTGCATATACTTGAAATATACTGAAAATACTTCAAGTACTTGAATATACTTGAAATACTGCAGATTAACATAACTTTTTTATTTCCTAAATAAGCTTAATGCATTTTTAAGTTGACATTGAAAAATAAATTATTAATTTATAACAAAAACATCGGCGCTATATGGTATTTTCTTGCTTTTTTTTAATACTTTGAATTTTGGTTCACCAACAAAACGATCTAATTTTTTAATAAAGTTGTGTTAAAAATATATTAATTTTATGAACCGGTTCTGTGTTTAACTTTGCGGGTAGTTTACAGCACCCTTTATCATTGCGTATTATGAAAGTGCACAGGGCCGGATTTGTGAAATGGAAATTTTTCAGAAAAAAAATTTAAGAGCAGTGCGATACATATACATGCTCGTGACATAATAGTATATTAAAGAACGAGTTTCATTAGGCAAATATTGAGGCACGAATCCAAGTTTATAGAACGAGCGGCGAAGCCGCGAGTTATATAAAGGATGAGTGCCTCAATGGCCTTATGAACGAGTTATTTATACTATTTTTTCTACCGCACACGTTTTTTCCCAAAATTTAATTGAAATTTGCATTTTTTTTAATCTGGGGACTTTTGTCGTGGTTGGTGATGGGTTGGTGTGACACTAACCACGAAATATTTGACGTTCGAATTTTCACAACAACAACTGTAATTCGAATCAATTCGAGTTTTTGTAATTTAAAATTGGTTAAAATGTATTGCGAAGAAGTTACGCGTCCGGAAACATGGTAAATTTTAAGTTTACATTTGCCACTGACATTCACTTAACATTTCTCGTCATGGCTACCAATCTTACCGATCTAAATTACACCAGATCTATTAAAGAACGCCTTTCCGCTATTAGCGAACTGCTGTGACGTCATTTGCGTGCGTTAATAGCCCTATTAGAAAACCAAAAAACGTGGGCGGTAGAAAAAAATGTTTTAGACACCATGTTGCATTTTCAAAAAAACGTATGGATTTTTTTTTTAAATAAAAAATAAAATGCCTAACACGAGAGTCCATTTTCAGCGAAAACTATAACTTTTGAAAAATATCAAGGTGATCAAAGTAATCAGTCGTTTTTTACTTTTGCGTTTACCAAAAATGCTGAGAATTTTCTTGGAATGAATACCCTATATTCCTGAATATATCTGTCTACCACTTACGTATTTACTATTCTAAAAACTATTAAATTAACCTAAATACTACACTCACTAAATAGTAAACACTATAGCCCCTAGAAAACACATAGTATCGTCACCGTGGAGCAAACCTGGCGGAAACTTAACAAAAACAAAAATTATAACCACCATTTGACAGACCGCGAAATTTAAAATGGTTTTATGTTGGTTTAAAGTTTGTTAGTTTATATACAAAATATGGAGTTTTAATTTGAATAAAATATAAAATATAATCAATAAAATCTTATTTAATAATTATTAGTTATATTAATTGACAATTAATTAACTTTAAATAAAAAGACCACGCCAAGACCAAAGGACAACAACGGTTTACGCGCTGTAAACTCTCTGCTGACACAATTTGGTTCCAAACCAGGGGAATTTTTTACGTTACCAACTGCATTTGCTCCACTCGTACAACAATGAATGACGGTACTATGTATTTCTACGGGCTATAGTAAACACTAATCACTACAATCACAGATTACGGATACCAGATGGTTCACTTGTGTGCGTAACTGTCCGCAAATATTCCGTGCGCATGACACTAAAATTGCTGCAGCACTTTTAAATCTCTTTGAAACTGGTTCGACAGATTAACACGCAAAATAATATTTACAATGAAGCAGATATAAGAATAAAAGTTTAGGTAATAATTCAGGGAATAAATAACATTACAAGGATTAATTTCTACGTTTTTTGGTTACGAAGGGATTTTTTAAAAGTTTTAAAATAATCAGAAAATTAGTTAAATAAATACCTACCTGCATTAAACTGTATTATAGTATCGTTTAGTAAATATATCTTGTCTAATGTAAATGAATAAGAAAAAAAAACATTTTCCCTTATTTTCCTTTAAACTCGTTTCAGTCATTTACGGACAAACTATTTGTCAATTGTTTGCGCTTTCTACACGAACATGTCTTAAATAACCACCAAAAATCGAAGATCACTATAAAGACGAGTATATTAGAAAACTGTAACAACAAAGTTCAGAAAGGCAAGCGCAGCAAATTTCATTAACTATTCCCTCCAATTCTTCTAACTTTCGGTAACCCTTTAAGCCGTATAGTTAAAGAGGTTACGTTTATTCACCATGCAAAAATTTTAACACCACTTTCTTGTTAGCACTATATTCGAGAATACGTGTTTTTTATGCTCTAAAATTTTTTAATGCCAATACATATGTCCGCAATTCTTTTCAGAGGAAATTGTGAAATGTTAAGCATTTGTAATAATCATAAATCATTTTGTGTAAGGCAAATAAGTATTTCGTTCGTTTTTTCTTCACTTAGAACCTCATCCCTTGCATCATCGCTGTAATTTTTCTCTGACCGCCGCGCTTTTAAATTCAAAGCTTGCGAACCAACTTTGGTAGAGCGTGCGTAGTAGCGTGACTACCCCTTGAAATCTCGGGACACCGACTTCAAAGTGCCGACAGCTGAGTGAACTATCTGGTATCCGTAATCTGTGCTACAATGTTTGTCTATCCAAGTATGTAACTTTACATCGACAAATCACAAATAATATGTTCGTAAGGCTGTTCCGTCCATTTATACAAAATTTTGTTCCATTAATGCCACACTACTTTCCAGAATTTTTCTTTACATTTTAGATTGGCTTATTTTTTATTTTTACCTGAAAACCCAAAGGAGATATTAGTAACTAATACAATGACTTCAGGAAATGCCTAACAACGGCTTTTGCAAAAATTCAGGTAAATACAGGGTTAGTCACGAGAGAATTACTTCTGAAAATTATTTTTACGCAACCCAAAATACGAATACCATGTACCATTTGATACTAACTAAATTTAAAATGAAATGCTTAATCCATGATTGCTTTGAGTTTGGCAATCTCATTTTGACAATTGTGGAAAAGGACGTTATGCGAGTGTCCATGGTGGTACCGCAGCCAGTCGCAAATCTCCTCCGGCGCCGCTAATAAATTTGTCAGTGTGCCTCTTGATCTTTTGCAACCGATTAATCACGAGAAAATTATTTCTAAAAATTCCTTTTACGGCATTTTATTCAAAGGTTACAACACAAACTCAAACAAGTAAGTAAATAATTTAACTACTAATCTGTTGAAAATGTTGGGCATTTTGGGGGGATGCTACGGCTTTTTTGTAAATAGATGGCCGAAGAAGTCCAGACGTTGCAGATTTGCACTTCGAAGAGGCTCTAGGTGACGCAGAGATGGCGAATTAACACATGCACATTAGCGGCGAAGAACATTGGTAGAGCACTTACGGCTTCAGTATAGCCCAGATTGATCTGACTGTATGTCGTCGATCCAATGGGGCTCTAGAGGCGAGTCAACGATGAAAAAAAATGTTAAAAATTAATAAACGTCAAAGTGACACTGCCAAAGTCAAAGCAATCATGGATTAGGCATTTCATTTTAAATTTAGATAATATCAAGTGGTACAGGGTATTAGTACTTTGGGTTGCGTAAAAATAATTTTCAGAAGTAATTCTCTCGTGACTAACCCTGTATGTACTAAATTTATTATTGTTAAAATATTTCGTAGGGGTGTATTTATCTAGGCAATTATACTAACTAATCGCGAATTTCATTAACTTTGTATTTTTTTATAATGTGAATATGTATTTTGTTCCATTTCCGGAAGCGGCCACTGACCCTTTTGGATCTCTTTACCTGTTATTGTAAATACAAATGTAAATTCAGTACCTACTTCTGTAACCGTCCTGTATTAAACATCGAAACCGAACTGTCTATTATTTCCCACACAACAAAACAAAGGTCCATTGTTTTTCTGCATTACGTTTTTTTAAATTGTTGGTGTTCAAATAATACATACAATTTAACAGATTATTTGAAACTGTAATGTGAGAAAATATAAGTATTTATAGTGTGGTCACCTACATTTAAAATTTCAAATTTGGCGCTACAACTAGATGGCAGCAGTGAGGAGGAAGCAGTACGGGACACGACGGGATCTAAACAGAATTTTAATAAAACCGCTCGTTCGAAGAGTAAAAATTAGTTTTACTAAAAAACCGACTACAATTTCAGGTGTGGGATGAACGACCTTAACATCGGAATGACCAATGTCCGATTTGTGTTTGTGAAGTGCTGATTCGTGGAATAGATACACGGATAAATGGTAGAAGAGTCAAGCACGTGGGAAATGTGAGGTTATGTCAACTCATCACGTTTTCATAAAAGGAGAAGATGGCAAGAACCCTCCAAGAAGTGGAGTTGTGTGACGACGCTATTAAGAATGGTCCTTATGCATCGGTACGTACGCTATACGGCCTTGCCTTTGACGACGGTAGTCGGTTGAACAGAAGGAAGCTGTGTCAATGGACGGGTTTCCCTTTTGAGATCGCATCAGATGACTTCAATGAGAAAGTGGATGAGGTAGTGCAGAATTTTACGATCGCAGAACTTTGTGGAGTCGGCCTTCTACTGGGGTTGAATTGTGCAGGTACTCACCAAGAAGTGGCCGAGAGAATTTGTTCAGTGTTGACTGATTTTGATCTGTTTACACAAGAAAGAGTTGTTCAAGAACAAGAGAGTGAAAACGAGGACGACGAAGATGATCCGGTAGACAGTGATGATGGTCGAGCAGGCGCGGCAGCAGTCCCTACGTTCACCATGTCTTTCAGAGACATCGAAGATTCCGTACGCACTTTTAGTGGTGACGACAATTATGCAATCGAGATTTGGGTCGCAGACTTTGAAGACATCGCTAAACTTATGAAGTGGTCGGAACTGCAACGACTAGTTTTTGCGAAGAAATCATTAACTGGGCTTGCTAAGTTATTTATCCAAAGTCAGAGGAATTTGGGTACATGGAAGGACTTGAAACGCAGGTTATTGAGTGAATTTTCCAAGAAGGTGAGCACTGCTGAACTGCATCGCATGCTGAATAATAGAAAAATGAAAAAAGAAGAATCTCTCCAGGAATACTTGTTGAAGATGCGTGAACTCGCTTCAAAGGGTCAAATTGAAGAGGAGTCAGTAATCGAATATGTCATTCAAGGTATCAACGATGATCCTGAACACAAATTTTTGTTGTATGAAGCTAAAACTTATGTCGACTTAAAGAAAAAAATTAAAGTTTATGAGAAGATTAGAAAGACCCGTACACCTTCGACTCAATCTGTTGGTCAACGTTTCCGAAAGCATAACGAAAACAAAGGAACTTATTCTCCGGGGTCTGTAGGAGCAAAGGGCAGTAGTAAACCCCCTCCAAATCAGAACATAATTAGAAGATGCTATAATTGTAATGGTGTGGGCCATTTCGCCTCAAATTGTCCAATTCCGGTGAGGGAAAAGGGTTCCTGTTACAATTGCGGTTCAAAGGAACATCAGAAGAGGAATTGTCCAGGGAAGAAAAAGGAAGACAACACCACCAATGTGATATCAACCGAGACACAAGATCCCTATATGGTAAACGTTAAGATTAATGTTAAAGATGATTGTCAAACCGAATGTAGCTATAATTTGAATTCATTAATCGATACAGGTAGCCCAATTTCAGTTGTAAAAGTTCGGTATGTCACCGAAAATAATTTCAATGAAGGTCTAAATCCAAATTTAAATTTCGTGGGTGTGAATGGATCGAAGCTTGATATATTGGGTATTTTTAACACGGAAGTATTTGTTAATGAAACTGTTTTACCCATAAAATTCTATGTAGTTCCTAATAGCACCATGTCCTTTAACGCTATACTAGGTAGAGATTTTCTCAATACCAAGGGTTTCACGTTTACGTTAGGAGATCATTTAAAAATTATTTCAAACGAATTTGAGAAAGTAAATAACTTTGACGAAATTTTACATGTCAATTTTAAGGTAGGTGAAGAAATAAAAAGTAACAAAGAAGTACAGATCAATCCTTGTTTAGATTATGATAAAAAAGTGGAAGTTTTGGAAGTGTATGATAATTTTTATTTATGTAATGACTCGCCAAAGATTGATTGTAATTACGAAATGAACATTTGTGTTAAGAATAATCAACCAATCTCTTTTAGACCACGGCGTTTATCCTTTTCTGAAAAAGAAAAATTACAAAACATGTTAGATGATCTATTAGAACGAGGCATTATTAGACCTAGTAGCTCTGATTACTGTAGTCCAATTGTACTGGTAAGAAAAAAGACAGGTGATTTAAGGCTTTGCGTTGATTATCGCGAATTAAACAAAATTACTATTAAAGACAACTTTCCTACTCCTTTGATAGAAGACAATCTGGATCGACTTCGAAACAAAAGATATTTTACGACCCTTGATCTTAAGGATGGTTTCCATCATGTTCGTGTAGCAGAATCGTCGATTAAATTTACTAGTTTTATCACACCTTTAGGGCAATTTGAATATCTTAGAATGCCTTTTGGGTTAACTAATGCCCCAAGAGTTTTTAACAGATTTATTAATTTAGTTTTCAATAAATTAATTCGAGCAAACAAAATTATTTTGTACTTAGACGGCATTCTAATAGCGACCAACAGTTACGAAGAACATTTAGATATTTTGAAAGAAGTATTTGGTGCAGCCTCCCAACACAATTTGCTTTTTCGAATTGATAAATGTGCTTTTCTTATGTTTGAAATTTCTTATTTAGGATATCTAGTAAACAATGATGGCATCAGACCTGATCCGAAAAATGTCGAAGCAATTTTGCAGTATCCAATTCCTACAAATGCTAAGGAAGTTCATAGGTTTGTTGGTATTGCTAGTTATTTTCGAAAATTTATAAATGGGTTTTCCGTCCTTACAAAACCTTTATATGACTTGTTAAAAAAGAATGTTGAGTTTCGGTTTGGTGAAAAAGAACTTGAATCCTTTGAACAAGTAAAAAATCAATTAGCTTCTTATCCTCTTTTAGCTGTGTATGATCCGCATACCCAAACAGAGTTGCACTGCGATGCATGCACATCTGGGTTTGGAGCTATTTTACTTCAAAAACAGTCGTCGGGAAAGTTTCATCCTGTTTTTTATTTCAGTCGTAGGACGACCGAAACCGAATCTAAATATCACAGCTTTGAATTGGAATGTTTAGCCGCTATTTATGCTATTAAACGATTTCATATATATCTCTTCGGTATACATTTTACGATTGTCACAGACTGTGATAGTTTTAGGCTTACTCTGACTAAAAAAGATATTAATGTTCGAATTTCTAGGTGGGCACTATTCTTACAAAATTATGACTACGAATTGCAACATCGTCCGGGAACACGGATGATCCATGTTGATGCTTTAAGTCGAGCCAACAATATTTTAGTACTAGAGGAAAATACACTGGAACAAAATTTAGCTATTTCTCAAAATTTAGATTCGAGTATTCAAAAGGTTAAGTCTGAACTCGAAATCCGCGAAAGTACAAAATTTGAACTTAGGAATGGACTAGTGTATAGAAAGAGCAAAGGAAAGCTTTTATTTTACGTTCCTCCGTTGATGGAAAGTCAGATCTTAACTATGTGTCATGATAATTTCGGTCACGTTGGCGTGGACAAAACTATGGAGTATCTAAAACGCAGCTATTGGTTTCCTAGTATTAAAGAAAAAGTGAAAAATCATGTTCGAAATTGTTTGAAATGTATCACCTTTTCACCAATTGGTGGCGCTGTGCCGAGTGAGTTACACAATATCCCTAAGGGAAATAAACCCTTTGTCACCATACATATTGACCATTATGGTCCATTAGAAAAAACTTTGACAGGTAGAAGATATATTTTTGAGATCATTGATTGTTTCACTAAATTCGTAAAACTGTATGCAGTCAAGAGCACCAAAACTTGTGAAGTAATCAATCAGTTAGAAAATTATTTTAGGCACTATAGTGTACCATTACGTATTGTATCCGATCGGGGATCCTGTTTTACCTCTAATGAGTTCGAAAAGTTTGTTCAAGAACATATGATTCAGCATATTAAAGTCGCGACGGGGTCACCAAAATCAAACGGTCAGATCGAAAGAATCAATCGAGACTTAACACCAATGTTGTCAAAATTGGCTATTTTAACAAACAAGTGGGAGAAAGCTTTGGGAACAGTTGAATTTGCTATTAACAATTCGTTTTGTAGATCCACTGGTAATTCTCCATCCGTTTTATTGTTCGGTATTAGTCAAAACGATCCTAGCGATCCTTTAAGAAATTCATTGGGCGCTGAAGCTGAAAAAGAAGATGACTTAGCCGAGGTTCGAGAAAAGGCTCAGTCTCAGAATGAAAAGTTACAAGCATACAATAAGCGCATGTATGACCAAAAACATAGACCTCCTAAACCGTACAATGTCGGTGATTATGTGATGATAAAAAACATAGATGTTACACCAGGTATTAATAAAAAACTTTTACCTAGGTATCGTGGTCCCTACGAAATCAAGAAGTCATTAGGCAATGATCGTTATTGGATTACAGACGTTGAAGGTTTCCAAGTAACGCAAATCCCATTTGAGGGAGTATGTTGTCCTGAGAATATGAAGCTTTGGCTTCAATAAGTTACAAAGAGATTAGTTTCATTTGTTCATTATTTCATAATGTTGTGTTTCTAAGTTTTGTTTCCACCTCGTTCTAGTTTTGACGCTAACATGTTCGTCTTTTAAGCCGTCTTTTAAGCGATTGGGTTTTCTAATCCATCTCTAATACCCTTATGATTTTTATGTGTCCTAATTACTTATGTGATTTATGTACTTTAGATACTTATGTGCGTCTTATCATTATGTTATTTAGGCGTTATATTATGTATTGGATTTATGTGACTTATGTTTTTAACATTTTATGTTTCACTAACTTATGATGTTTGTGTGACTGAAGTTTAAGCACCTTATGTTTTCTGTCACTTATTATGTTATGTACCTTGTGTTTTACTTTGTGTATATGATCGGGACGATCATAATGTCAGGATTGGCCGAATTGTGGTCACCTACATTTAAAATTTCAAATTTGGCGCTACAACTAGATGGCAGCAGTGAGGAGGAAGCAGTACGGGACACGACGGGATCTAAACAGAATTTTAATAAAACCGCTCGTTCGAAGAGTAAAAATTAGTTTTACTAAAAAACCGACTACAATAGCAAACTAATAAGTTTATATGGCTGAACCATGTATAAACAAAAAAAGAGAATTTGGTAATAGTAAACGAGTATCTAACGTGATAAAGAAACTTAAACTGCAAAATATTTAACATAAAATTGTGTTTAAATTCTACGAAGAAGAGGCGAATATGAAAGTCTGTACCTGCCATCAGTTATTGCTATTGTAATAAAATGAATAATCCCCTGCCGAGTTCTCCGCTCTGACAAGACTTCTTACTGACAAATACACGGCGGGGTTAATAAACTAATGAAAGAATAAATATCTTTTTGAACGAGTACTGAATCATTTCTCAAATATTTTCAAATCCGACCTTGCACTTTAGCAGGTACGTCAACAAACCCGATCCCCTTTGGGGTACTGGGAAGGTACTGAAAAACTACCCGCAAAGTTAAGTTCCAGACCAAAATACAAAAAAGACAAAATTCATATATTCACAACTTTACATCACTGAAAATTTTACACAGACTCCGACTCTTCTGCTGTCGTCATCCACTCTCAAATGACATATTTATGACATTAATTTTCTTACCTACCTATCTGCATTATTCAAGTACCTATGAAATATACGTCGTATTGTGGATAAGATATCCACAACCTCACAGGAAACAAACACGATTTTACTATAAAAATACATCTACTTAATCAAATAATTGAATTAATAACTTCAAGTATTTAACAGACCCTATTTTGCGATGTGAAAACTTCGTTAAATAGAGACTAAAGTATTTGAAGTTTCCACGTTCATACTTCAAGTACTTCAAGAGTATTTAAAATACTGAGTGAAGTACTTGAAGTAAAGTACTTGGCAAAATCAAGTACTAAACTCAAGTGCATTGTAGAAATACTCCAAGTACCAAGTACCAAGTATCTAAATATAAAAGTACTTCAAGTAAAGTATTTGAAGTACTTTTAGTTGAAGTACTGAACAGCTCTGCCCACAAATCATAACTACCAATTCTCCAAAAAACCAGGCTTAAATCTAATATTTACAGAATTTTCTATTTGCTACACTAATATCTGTTTCGTAACTTCCAAATTTTGTGATCTCACATTGCGTTGTCAAAACTCTGATCTTTCTTGCATTCTTATTTCAGAAACTTGGCTTAGAGATGACATTCCGGACTCACACCTGGTTATTCCATCTACAGATGCGATCGGGTGAATAGAATCGGAGGTGGTGTCTGTATTTATATCAAAAACTCCAAATTTATAGAGTTCTCAATAATAGCGCAACCTAGCCACATTTGTGATATTGACTTGTTACACCTCAATTTTTCGTCCAGTCACATCCATTTCTCTGGTGTGTTTATATAGACCTCACTACAGCCCGGAAAAGAACGACAATTTATTATTTGACAAACTTTTTGAAATGAGTCATAATAATTCCAACCTAATCATAAATATGTGACGACTTTAATTACTCAGATATCGATTGGGCCAGTAAGGTTATCCCGGCTAGTTCAAAATCCAGAAACTTTATTCAGTTTTTAAACAACTCCAATTTAGAGCAATTAATAACGGAACACACTAGGTTCAGGCTTAATCAGACACCTTCCACTTTGGACCTACTTCTTACTAACTCTTCCCAGCTGTTAACTGAACACGAAATCCTACTTCCAATCATGCTGTGATCGGAACTTCCATACAAACTATCCATAAAAGTAACACAATGCTCGAGCTTAAAAAATTATCAGTTATTCAAACCTAGATCAAAAACTGGCGTCTGTTGACTGGGAACAAGCCTTAACTAACCGTTCGATTGATTCTCAGTCGACCATTTAAAGTAGAACATCAGTTTTCTTAGTAAAGCTTATAGTAAAACATTTTTCTCCATTTAAAAGCAAATTGTTGTCAATACACCACCATTGAAGTATATCGATGTTACCCTGTAGTTTAATGTAGTCTTCCAGCGTATCAACTTGACAATATATTTTCAAATCATCCGCATAAAGTAAATGAGGAATGTTTAGTCTCGAAGATAAGTCGTCTATATACACAATGAAAAACAAAGGTCCCAAAACAGATCCTTGAGGAAAGCCCGAAATTTGTTTAAATAATTTAGATTTATAACCCCGGTACTGTACGTATGAACATCTATCATACAGATATGATGATATCAGATTCAATAAATCCTGTGACCACCCGAAGTGTTCCAATTTAGCTATAAGCAAATTGTGATCGACTCGATCGAAAGCCTTCGACATATCGGCATACAATACATCAACCTGTTTTTCCTGATCGATATGTTCACAAAGAAATTGCGTGATAGATATTAAATTTGTGACCGTTGATCTTTTTGCCACAAAACCATCCTGACATAAAGAAACCTGATTGAAAATGTGACGGGACATCCTTTCATGCATTATAAGTTCAAAGACTTTACTAAAGTTATTAATTATAGTTATAGGTCTGTAATTTTTTACTTGGGACCTATTACCTTTTTTGAAAATTGGACAAACACGAGCAATTTTCCAGTCAGAAGGAAAGGTACTTGTTTTGAGTATTTGATTAAAAATTATTTATAGAGGATAAGCTAAAGCCGATTTACAGTCTGAGACAATAAAGGCTGGAATTAAATCTGGTCCAGTTATTAAATTAGGTTTTATTTTAGAAATAGACATCAAAATTTCTGCTTCTGTTATATTATTTTTGTTATGTAAGGTTTTTGGATATAGCGTAATATTATCAGAGATAACGGAAGAGTTATTCACCGAGAACGAATCCGAAAAACAATCCGCAAATGCGTCAACGATTTGTTGTGGCTGAGTAATTATTTCATCACCAGACTTCATAACAGAGGGGATGGATGTACTATTGTTAATCGAATTTATGTAGCTCCAGAAACGTTTCGGATTAAATTTGATATCGTTGTTCAATTTTTTAATATAAGCTGAGTAGGCAGTCTTAATTTCAGCTTTTATTTTACTCCTTAATCGTTTAAACTCATTGTAATCGTCATTTTTGTTATATTTTTTAAACATATTGCCCGTATTTGCAAAAAAGCAAACTCCAGTTTATTCCTTCTCTCGAAGATTTTCACGCATCCTTCTCCTGCTATCTTTACTAAGCTTTACACCCTTTACGTGCTCCCAATTCTGGAATATGGTGGTCCTGTATCGAGTGTGGAATATGTACGAGACCGTAATATGTTGGAGTCTGTGCAGCGCTATGCTACTCGCATCCCCTACGGTAGAACACGCCCACCATACGAAGCACGCCTCAGAATGTCAACATTAACAACCTTTGAAGACAGGAGACATAGGGGTGATCTAATCTTTTGCTTTCGGGTTCTACACAATTAGTTCACCGTTGAACTGTCTCATATATTTTCCTTAAATACCGATACCCGATTAAGAAGACACAGATTCAAACTCAAGAAAGAAACCTACAGGACATGCCACTGACAATACTTCGTACCAAACCGCATTTTTAATTCATGAAATAACCTTCCCGCCCCCACCGTTGAAGCTCCATCTCTCAATTCATTCAAGAATAGACTTGATGTTCTATAACTTGTATTTCTTTATTTTTCATTATTTCATTTTTTTTCTTTTGTTAAAGTTTTATGGCTCTTTACAACTTGCACACGACCACATAAGCTTAGGCTTTTGTCGTGTACTTTTGTATTAATATAATAATAATATAGTAATACATTTTATTACAAATACCTCAAGTACCAAGTACTAAGTACCTAAATATAAAAGTTGAAGTATTATTTCAAGTACTTTTACTTCATTGTCATCAATTATGTTAAAATAAGGGTTACGATGTGTAGAGATGAAGATGGTTGCCATATTTCACATCTTCTTTAATAAAGAGTTTGAATTTGCCGCCCAAAGTTAGATGTATGAATCTAATAAAGACATTATGCAATTTCAAGTCAATGCTTGTTGTGATTTTTTTTTGTGACTCACATGTTATAATTTGGTCACTCCGAATGAAATAAGATCTGTGAACTGGTTGCATAATATGATTATTACTGAGTACCCATTAATATCCAAATCAGATACATTTACTTAGTTAACAATACTTTGACACGCGAGCAATAAAAACGACGCCAACTATGCAGTCGATCGTCACATGAATTTTCATCATATACGATTTTTTGTCATTTATTTAATCAAAATCAGTGTAAACGATTTATTCATAAGTAGACTTCAGAATTAAGAATAGTTTACCTATGAGCGTCAAAGAGTGTGTTGAATGTAGTTGATATGTAACCACTTAACAAATGAAAACAACCAAATTAGGTCATGCATTTTTGTGAAAGAATATGTTATTCGCATGTGGAAAGTATATATGTATATTCAAGGATCGACTGCAAATTTGACCTGTAATGATGGAATGAAAATTACCGTCTTCTAATGTTTGAGCTGCAGAAGGTTCGGATAGCGGTCCAGCTCCTACTTCATTGAAAGCTTGAACAACTATGCTGTATCTTGTGTATTTGTCAAGATCTCCTAGCACTAATTCACCTCCATCTTGAGCATCGCCCATAACCGTCGTAAAATTAAATGCTCCCATATTTGATGTACGATAACCAACATTAAAACCCTGAATAGCACCATGACGAACCTCAGGTGAAGGTGGAGTCCAAGTGACAATCAACTCTGTAGATGAAAGAGGCCTTACAGAAATGTTTAGTGGTGGACCTGATGGACGTTGTGATTCCGTTCGAACATGCAATTCTGAACAAGGTGGACTCTCTCCCGCTGGTCCCACAGCAATGACACGAACTGTGTACGCTGTAGCTGGCTTTAAATCCTCTATTACGGCAGTATATGGTGCTGAAATATCCATCAAATCCAGTTGTTTCCAGGAACCTAGACGAAAGACAATATAATCGTTCACTTTGCTTTTTACATATTTTTATATGTAAATACAATCGCGGCCTGAAAAATTTGGACGTAATTTTTCTGTCAAGTTCAAAATTTTGATGTAGTTCACCCCTTATTGTCACTTTGATGTTTGAGATTTAAAAAACTTATGACGTTGCATCCAGTGTCAGCGTACCCATATTATCAAAAATGACAAAACCAAAAAGAAATAATACTCCTATTAAAATATTTAAAGATGTTTCACACTTTGTGACAGTGGAATAACATTGACGTCCAAGATTTTCTGGTGTACATAAATTCTTGTTAAACAAGTAGGCTTGAAATTTTGGCGCTTAAATGTAACCATGTACAGATTTCTAAATTCCGTAAAGTTATCTGGCCCCTTAAAAATAGTAATGCGGAATAATAATCCTTTTTGTGCGACTGATCACGGTACGAATCTACTGTCATAAATAAAGGTTTTGTACCAATATTTTGCCAACAGGCGCAGATCCGGTTTAATCTATACTGATTATTTCTATCCGTTTTCCCAGAACAGTTAAGATTATCAAGCTTTTATTTATTTACAAACATAACACATAGAGTTGAAAAACCAAATTAATTTCATATGATATTACTTTATGGATTTTGATGTCGAAACAATTGAGTAACACTCTACTCCGCGGTCATACGGGTGTTCGGGTGTATCAAGACTTTGAGGCCTAATCTCTGATCTATTCGGACCCTAACTGCTTGCCATAAACGGGTTTTTTCTAGTAGTCGATTATTTCAGTAAGTTTCCACTATTATTTTCTTTACGGACAGCAATAGCTGCACTGGTGTTTCTAATAGGAGTACAAAAATTAATAATAGTTGGCAATGGCAAATAGTTCATCTGTAAAATATTGGCTGACTTGTTACATAAATACGAAGTTAAACTACAGTTGACCACCTTATATCATACTCAGGTCAAACCCACAGGGCGTACCAATAAGGAAATTAATAAGGTACTTCTATGCTATGTGCAAGACAATAAAAAATGCTAGGGAAACATTTTACCGCGGCTACACCCCATTTTTCTCATTAAATCTCTCCGGAAACTGGCAATCAGAAACTTTTGAAACGGAAAAGGGTCAAACTAAACTACACCAGAGAGCAAAGGGAATGCGCCGTTTGTTGGAGGGGGTGAATGTGCGACTGAGGAAAGCTAGAGCTATAGCCCAAAAATCGCATAATTTGTGTCGACGAGCAGTCAAATTTTGAGATGGTGACTAAGTCTTGCCACGAAACCTTCGGCTTTCCAACGAAGCTATAGTGCCTCTGGAAGCTAAATTTGTAGATCTTATGACAATAGAAAAGAAGGTGGGCTATAATACTGTTACGAAAGAAGCCCATACGCCGCCCCGGTGCGACGCGTATGGGTTCTAGTATGTACGGCGAGGATGGGTGACTCATCGTCGGTGACGGCGGCCAGGCGGCGTTTGCTAAAGAAAAGCCTGGAAGTGAAAGGCGCAATGGGTATTTCGAGAAGACCTCGATCACGCAGCATCTAGATGAAAAGTATGGGTTTAAATAGAGGCCACAATCGAGAACAAAGTCAGCGGGTAAAGTTGAGACAGTGAGAGACGTAGAGTGTAGAGTCTAGTCAAATCCATTCCAGTCGAGTCGAAATATTATGTACATAATCGCTGAATAGTTAGTCGTGTAAATTAGTACAGGGTGCCGCACCAAGTCTGGACATAGGGAATTAGCATGGGAAATTGGTTTTTATTTTATAAAATCTCCCCAGATCACTTTGAACCTATTATTGAGTTATGCATTTGTGGAGGTTGAGGAGGGCTATCGACCAGTATTTTTTTCAAATCATTGCATCGCGCTCATTCACTGTAAAAAGGTTTTAAAAATTGTATTTTGAAATTAGCGCCCGACCTGATTTGTCGCGGAATGCACTGTCGAAGTTCGACGATCGCGTCTTTGGATTAACCATGCAAAATCCAAATGTTAAAGTGAATTCACAATTCTCACTCAGAAATCACTGAGCAACTCAATTTATTTTGTCCAGTGTGACGATTATTGTAGGACAAATTAAACGGAATAAATGAACAAATTACACAAAACATTTTATGAAGGCATTTTAGGGAGTTTTCATTACTAAAATCTCATAAAGTGCTATGTTCTACTGCGATTAGATGAAAAAGCGAAGGCCTGCTCTTTCTTATTGTGTGATGATAAGATTTACCATCAAAACAGCTGGCGCTTTTGAAGACACCTTTTTAATAAACCATTTAGATAACTACAAATAACAAAACCTAACAATTGTTGATAAACGAAGTAATGAAATATTGTACGAATCTGGAGAAGTATTGCACTATTTTCAAGAATTGCTCAAAAAGACCGCTCTCAGCTGCTGTAAGTAAGCCAATCTTCAAAACTCCTACGCGTGTTGAGCAGCATTTGAGTTTAAATCTGAAGACAATATTGCCGGATTGCTTGTTTCAGCGCGTCTCTGTTTGTATAGCTGGTATTGTCCGAATACATACCGTCGTGAAGAAATCTTCGAAGAAAAAATTCACAAGGGTTTAGATCCGGCGAACGCACAGGCCAATGGGGCCATGCAAACTTTCCATTCCTACATTGCGGGAAAATACTGGTTCAAATAAACAACATTTATGTGAGCTGTATGGCTGGAGATTTGGTCCTGCATGTAAAAGACCTGCTGCAGATGTCACACCCTTCGAGTTCCAGAAAGTATTTGCTGAGCTAGCATATCGTCCTACTTCTGAGCATTTAATCCATATTCGATGAAAAAAGATCCAATGACATGGTGTCCTAGAAACCCCAGTCACACACTAACTGTATTATATATGTAGAGATGGCAGCACTGCGAGCAAGCGAGCAAGCACGCTAGCACGATGGTGCCGATATACAAAATAAAAGTAATCTAAACCAAACGGGCTCCTTGATTATAATCCAAATATGACATGGTGTCAGAAGTGAAAGCGAGAGTTAAAGAAAACAGAAAAATCGAAAGTTATTCCATAGGCAAGTGAAAAAGTAAAAAAACGTTGCATTTAACGTCAATAATGGCCGACAGCGTGAATAAGCCTCAAACGTGGAGAATAAAAGGCAACCCCTCAGTCGATTGGAAAAAGTGGTACGCAACATTTACAACGTTCTTGACGGCAGCGGTCCTGGACACAGCCAGTGATAAGAGGAAAATAGCTCTGTTATTAAACTTGATAGGAGAGGACGCCCAAGAAATTATGGATACATTCACATGGGACGAGCCAGGAGATGTCAAGAAGTTTGAGGTCGTGACAAAGAAGAAAGAATATTGTTCACCTATAAAAAACCTAGTGGTTGAGAAATTCAATTTTAACATGATAAATAAATAAATAAATAAATAAATAAATAAATAAATACATATGCTTTATTATCCAACAGGCATCTGCCCAATTACAGGATAAATAAATAAACGAAATATAAACCCAAAATCCTAAAACAATAAATATGATTGTTTTGAACTAAAATCGGTCATTTACTTCATTAAAACATGCATAAGTATTTTCTTAATTCCATCGTAATTGACATCGCATACATTGCTAACTCCATTTATTAGTTTTGTCAGTACGTTGATTGGTGATAGTACAAAGTGACGGTGAAACATTCGAATCATTTCTCACAGAACTGAAAACCAAAGCTGCTTCTTGTGAATTTGGTACCCTAAAAGATAGCCTAATCAGGGACAGAGTAGTTTGCGGTATACATGATAAAGTTCTACAAAGAAGATTGCTTCGAGAAACAAATTTATCGTTAAAAATTTTGCATCGATTACTGTATCGCAGCTGAGCAGAGTGACAGGCAAGCCAAAGTTTTTCAAGGAACAACACATATAGATGTCGTTAAAAGAAACAGCCATAAGCAGGAGGGCAGAACAATTGCCCTAAATGTCATCGAGTACATGAGCCGAACAAATGTCCTGCATTTAGAAAGACATGTCTGAATTGCGTAAAGAAAAATCATTTTTCCTGCGCGTGCCGTCTTCCAAAAACCAATAAGAAGAGAGTTCAAGAGGTTCAAGAGGAAGAAGGGGAAGATAATTACACGGATTTTTTTATTTCAGAAGTAACAAATGGAAATAGCAGGGCGTGGTTTGCCAATATAAATGTAAATAACATTGATATTAAATTTAAGCTTGATTCGGGAGCTGAGATAAATGTAATACCAGCTACATTATTAGATACAATGCATGTTGATAGACAAAAAGTGATAAGTTGTAACACAATTTTTGTTTCATTTGGTAATAATAAAATCAAAGTGCTGGGTAGAATAGAGTTAAGATGTGTATACAAAAACGAGGTTGTATACATTGAATTTTTTGTAGCAGAAGGTAGTATACACCCAATTTTAGGATTAGATATCTGCATTATATTGAATTTGCTAAAAAAAGTTAATGAAGTGTCAAAAAGTAATATTCTTGATAGCTATAACGATGTTTTTACAGGTATAGGTCAGTTTGGGCGAGAACATCACATTGTAATTGACAAGACAGTAATCCCAGTAGTACACCCTCCCAGACGAGTTCCTATTTCCATTCAACCGAAGGTAATGAGTAAGGAGATGCAGTTTTAGGCCAGGCGCCTCCCACCACTTTCCATCAGCAGCGTCCACTGTTATTGCTTCCCTTCGCCCGTCGGTGCATGTTCGGTCATTTTAATATTGGTGATTGGGATAGCAGGCATCGCATTTTGCCGTTGCAGCTATTATAAAATAATCTACGTCTCATCCGTGTATTGCTACGTGGAGCCGATGGTTATTAATTATTATATATATATTAGGGTGATTCAAAAAAAAAAAATAATTTTTTTTTTCGTGCAAAGAGGTTCAAAAGTTTCTTTTCAACGTAAAAAAATACCAGTTAAAATTTGAGCTCTTAATATTAATATTAAGACCGTCCGCATCGCGTTTTTCTATTTCCCATAAGAATAACATGGGAAAATTTTTGTTTGCACCTTCTGATTTTTATTGCTAGCCCGTCGTGTGTCGTGAAAAAAATTCAATCACATATTTTTATAGAGAATTGAACGCTCTACAAAAAGTGTCTCCTATGATTGTGCGAGAAACCTGATAGTTGAAGAGTTATTTTAGGCTAAAATTAAATTTATCGCAAATTTTGACGTTTTTGATGCATTACAATAAATTTGATGGTCTTATTGGAATAAATCACCACAAAAATTTATACATATTTTAAATTTAGTTTTTTAAACAGTAATTGTTTATAATTTTATGCTATAATAAGGCCAGTAAAACTCTTTCCGAACATTTTCAGCATCAGTGGGTTAAAAAATCATAGTCAGGTTTCTCGCAAAATCATAGGAGACACTTTTTGTAGAGCGTTCAATTCTCTATAAAAATATGTGATTGAATTTTTTTCACGACACACGACGGGCTAGCAATAAAAATCAGAAGGTGCAAACAAAAATTTTCCCATGTTATTCTTATGGGAAATAGAAAAACGCGATGCGGACGGTCTTAATATTAATATTAAGAGCTCAAATTTTAACTGGTATTTTTTTACGTTGAAAAGAAACTTTTGAACCTCTTTGACACGAAAAAAAAAATATTTTTTTTTTTTAATCACCCTAATATATATATATCTTCAGCATCTTCATTACAGGAAATTTTTGAGAAAGAAATGTAGAACATTGACTCATCAACATTTTAAAGTATTTTTCTCTATTACGAATGTGTTTTGGGATTCAGAAACTTTTGTATTACTGTTTTATTTGTTTATTGTGGTAACAACAACAAAAATAAAAATAATATTTCGCAAAATAAAGTTACATTTATTTTCAAAGGTGATAAAAATTACATAAAATCAGGTGGGCACGACGTTTTCTAGGGATCTTAAACAGATGAGATAAAAGAATTTCAAAAAGCATCATGACAAAAAATTGAAGCCTGAGGACTACTTCTCACATATAGACTTTTACGAAGGAACGCTTGAGAGAATCTAGGCTGATGGAGAGTTTTTGAGGAACATTTGTTTTACTGACGTTCATTTGGTCTTAAGGGAAGTTATAATCGTCAGAACGATCAAATTTGAGCATTACACAACCCTCACGTGGTCCATGACCTTCGTTATCAATGGCGTGCAATTGTCAGTGTATGACTGGGGTTTCTAGGACATCATGTCATTGCACCTTTTTTCATCGAATCCGGATTGAATGCTCAGAAGTAGGATAATATGCTAGCTCAGCAAATACTTCCTGGGACTCGAAGGGTGCGGCATCTGCAGCAGGTCTTTTACATCCAGGACCAAATCTCCAGCCATACAGCTCGCATAAATGTTGTTTATTTGAACCAGTATTTTTCCGGAATGTTGGAATGGAAAGTTTGCACCGCCCCATTGGCCTGTGCAATCGCCAGATCTAAACCCCTGAGAAATTTTTTCTTTGGAGATTTCTTCACGACCATCTGCATTCAGACAAGCTATACAGACAGAGAAGCGCTAAAACAAGCAATCCAGCAATATTGTCTTCAGATTTCAACTAAAATGCTGATCAACACGCGTAGGAGTTTTGAAGATCGGCTTACTTACTGTACAGCTGCTGAGAGCAGTGTTTTTGAGCAATTCTTGAAAATAGTGCAATACTTCTCCAGATTCATACAATATTTCATTACTTAATTCATCAACAATTGTTAAGTTTTGTTATTTGTAGTTATCTAAATGGTTCAGCTGTTTTGATAGTAAATCTTATCATCACACAATAAGAAAAGCGGGCCCTCGATTTTTCATCTAATCGCAGTAGAACATGGCATTTTAATGAGATTTTAGTAATAAAGACTCGACCAGCACCAGCAACATAACCTAATAAAATATTTTGTGCGGTTTGTGCATTTATTCCGTTTAAATTGACCTACAATAATCGTCATATTGGATAAAATAATTCAATTTGAGTCGTTCAGTGATTACTGAGTGAGGCAGTGCGAGTACATTCCTAGCTTGATGGCTCCCAGAAAATGTCACAATACTGCCGATGGGCTTTGATGGGGTTTTGAGGAAGACCAGCTGCTCGAAGTCTTCATCTCGGGCTTTTTGGATACGGTCTGAGTGTAGTTCGAAATGGCTCGTTTGACGGGGTGGCGCACTATGACGAATGAATGGATCAATTTGTGCATTTATTCCGTTTAATTTGTCCTACAATAATCATCACACTGGATAAAATAATTCAGTTTGAGTTGTTCGTTGATTTCTGATGAGAATAATTTCTAATTTCGCTTTGACATTTGGATTTTGCATGGTTATTGGAAAGACGCGATCGCCGAACTTCGACAGTACGACGGAACACTTCGCGACAAATCGGATCGGGCGCGAATTTCAAAATACCATTTTTAAAACCTTCTTACAGTGTATGAGCGCGATGCAACGATTTGAAAAAAATACTGACCGATAGCCCTCTTCGACCTCCACAAAGGCATCACTCAATAATAGCTTCAAAGTGATCTGGGGAGATATTATAAAATAAAAACCAATTCCCATGTTAATTCCCTATATCCAGACTTGGATGCGGCACCCTGTATAATTATATATGGGGAAAATGAGACAGAACATGATAAAATTCTGACAACAGTATTAGAGACTGCGCGGGAAAATAACATTAAGTTTAATAAAGAAAAAATACAACTAAAAGTAAAATTGGTGAAATATATGGGCTTTAACATATAAGAAAATGGTTTAAGTCCTGACAGTGACAAGGTAAGAGCCATAGTGGAAATGGAGACACCTCAGTGGAAGGAAGAAGTGAAACGATTTTTAGGAATGGCCAATTATCTGTCATCATTCACACCTAACTTAGCAGAAGTAAATGCACCCTTGAGGGAGTTAGTGAAGAATGATGTTGCATGGCACTGGAGTAAAAGACATGAAAAGTCGTTTGAGAGTCTAAAAAACATTTTAGCCACAGAACCAACAATGGCGTTTTTTGATCAAAAACTGCCAGTAACAATACAAACAGATGCATCAAAAGATCGGAATGGGACTATTTGGCGCGGCCGACTTGTCGCGAGCCATTTTGGCGCAAAGCCAACTTGACGCAGGGACACTTTGGCGCAAACCATCTTGGCGTGAGTACGTCGGTATATAATATAATAGTTATTTATTATACAAGCGGTTAAAGTGAATGTTTAATGAGCGGTCAGTTTAAGGCGAGAGCGGCGTATGCCGCGAGCGCCTTAAGACCGCGAGTTACACAATCATTTTAACCGCGAGTGTAATACAAACTTTTATTCAATTTTGACAACCCCAAGTCCCAAATTGTGAAAAAATTGGTGATTCAAAGTTCACATTCGAGAAACGTCAGAATTGACAGCGACCAAATAAAAGTTTTATATGCGTAGAATTTATGTTACAATATCAGGTGTGTGTGTGTAGTATGTGACTCTGGCGACGGTGTTTGTTTATTTTAAACAAACTAAAATTATCGAAAAATTGCAAAATCATGCAAGATTCCAACGGCAAAACTTGCTCCCAAAAAAGAGCAAATCAGAAAGTGTATCAAAAGTTCCTTAGATGGAAAGAGCAGCAAGGCATTGGAGAAATTACAGAAATGGTAACCATGGTTTTAAAGCAGCAAAATAAAAATTTTATTTCGCCAGCGGTTTAAAAATTTTATGGTGCTACCGGATAAACCAAAGCTTTAGTGGCCTACTGACGGCAAAATAAACGTTTGTTTACATGTCAAAATTGATAAATAGTTATTTACATTACAAGCTGCGTAAGGAAACTTTTTTGTCGAGGTGGATTTGACGGGCCGAGGCAACGCCGAGGCCCGGCAAACCTCCGAGACTTAAGAAAGGAGTTACGCAGCGTGTATTGTATTACGTTTTTTCTGCTACCGACACCAGTAACACTAAAAAGTAATAATTCTAGTAACTAAAAAATATTTAAGAAATTATCAGGAACTCATTGAACGTATTCATTTCCGTAGCAACAAGATAAAAAAATTTGTTTACAAGTGAAGTTTTCTAATAAAAAGTAGTTGTTCAAAGTGAAAAATGAGTGATTCAAGTCATTTACAGGCAATAGAAGAAGCTGCCAATATTGCTTGCGCATGTCTGTTACCTGAAAAATCGAAATTCCGTTATAATGAAACTTACAACGCATTTTCAATTTGGTATACATCACGAAACATTCAAGATGTTAATGAAACCGTAATGTTTGGTTATTTTAAGGAAAGATCCGAAGCCCGCAAGTCTCCTAGCAGTTTATGGTGTGAATATTCAATGCTGAAATTAACGTCGTGTCAGTTCTTCTGTTTGTTACCTCAATTATATAAGAAAATGTTGGAAGCTCATGCAGTTGATGAAAATGTGACAGTTACTAATTTTGAAATAACTTCAAATAATAATCCTTTAATAAATATTACTGAGTGTAGTGTTACAGTTAATATTAATAAATAATTATAAAAGAAACTATTGCTGTAAAATGAAATTATTGACATTTCTCTGACATTCTACTACTTTCATTACTTTTTTGTCCTGGCAGCGTAAGTAACACTTACGCCCTTAGTAACCTACTTACGGAGCTAGCAACGAGGTTGCCCTATTTACTTCACTTACGCTTACATCAGTGTCACTGGAGCAATAAGATTCATTTACGCTATCGGTAGCAGAAAAAAAATATTTATTGTTCATACTGTGCTTAGCACCCTGTTATTTATGCCAAGTGTAGGCAACCAAATACACAGTTTCATTCGCACAAGTTCCAATAACTAAATGATCCACGGAGCAAGAAGTTCCACATTTAGGAGTACGTTTATAATGGGGTGCAGGACGCGAAGCGCCCGTGTGTTCATTAAAAAGTCGACATTACCCCTCCACGCGTTGGTGACTATAAAAATTAGGTTATGCTAACAACGGCTGCAATTTTTGTATATTTATATCTATTTTTCTTGGTGCGAGTTCATCCGCGCCAAGATGGCCCGCACCAAGATGGCTTGCGCCAAAGTGTCCCTGCGCCAAGTTGGCTTTGCGCCTAAATGTCTGGCGCCAAGTCGGCCGCGCCAAATTGTCCTAGACCGTTAAAAGATGGGACTGGTTGTTGTTTGCTTCAAAATAAGCATCCGGTAGCGTATGCCTCAAGGTCACTAACAGATAATGAAAAGAATTATGCTCAAATCGAAAAGGAGCTCTTGGCCATAGTGTATAGTTTAGAAATAGTATATTATTAGCCAAGGTTGCAAAGCCAAGCATTCTAGACCGAGCGCAAATTAGAACCCGAGACCGCAGCAACCGTGGCTAATATACTATTTTTTTCACTAGTAGAAACCATAAGACAATAAATTGAAAAAATAAACGTTCAATTTTTTGACGCAACATGATTTTGTTTTGATTTTTAATCAAACTTAATCTAAATCTTCAACACAAAGAAAACCGTTTACACTTGTCGCTGAATTAATCATTTTATCTTCTACCGTCTACAACTACCATGCGTATACTTAAGTAATGTTAGTAGCACACATTTATTCATTTTTTAAGAAATAATCACATCAAGTATTGCGTACATAACCTCAATCTTCTTTTTTAACCCGTGGTCGCAAAAATTGAATTTGCTACCTCTAAATGAGTCGACATTTGCATGCTTCATGGCTGCTAGTGAAAAAAAATTTTTTTCTTATTTCTGTTTATATTCTATCTATTATTACCGTTGTTTGACGTTGCTAAAATATATAAATATATATAAGCACTGTGCATTGGTTCAGTAAATCATAGGAGATGATAATTTACAGTTTAGAGACAGTATAAAAATTTTAGGAGTCCACATTGATAGTCAATTAAAATTTCATCACCACGTGAATCATGTACTCAGCAAATGTTATCCAAAATTTGGGTATTTGTATCAATTCAAGAATTATTTAGATAGCAATGTCAAGTGGAAATTGTGTAACACTTTATTGATCTCTAATTTTGATTATTGCTCATCCGTTTATTATCAACACCTTACAAAGGAATTTAAATATAAATTACAGCTAATGCAAAACACATGTCTTCGATTCAGCTATTTATTACCATTCAGAGAACATATCACACCTAACTATTTCAAACTTTCCATTTTAAAAATTGAAGAAAGATTTAATTTGATGTACATAAGGGCTGTATTTAGCATAATCAAAAAGGGAGAACCAGTGTATTTAATAAAATATCTAAGAAGGAGAGAAGAAGTACACCAGCGCAATCTTAGAAATAAAGAGCCCAATGATATTCCTAAACACGCTACGGAAAAATTTAAAGCTTCATTTTCATATATTTGTACAAAAATTCTCAATGAATACGGTGACAAAATTATAAGTAGTAATAGTTTTATTTCTTTAAAAACTCAAATTGTTGAATATTTTCTATCGAAATACTTAAGTTAGTTTAAAATAACATTTTTGTATTAAGTTTATTTAGGGTTTAGAGGGATGCTGAAAAACGCACCAAGTGCGATGCATCATCCATTCAGTTTACAATCTTGTATTGTTTCTAATAAATATTATTATTATTATTATTAATATTATTAAATCAGTATTTCATTGAATGGAATACTGGTTGCTAAAGGTCCAGTATTTCACTAAAACTGAAATCTTGATAAAATCTCTTGCTCTTCTGTGTCATATAACTCGTTAGAAGTATCTGGAAGCAAGTTCTGTACATTTGCTGCCGCTCGACAAATTTCTTCAGAAATTTCCATATTTTTACAAAAATTTTAGGACTTTTACGTGAAAATGATATTTTTTTCCAAAATTTGCAGTTGTTTATTTACAGTGCTAACATATATGGTAACACTCGCCCAATACATACCCTACGTCGGTCTAGGACAATTCGGCGCGGCCGACTTGGCGCGAGACATTTTGGCGCAAAGCCAACTTGGCGCAGGGACACTTTGGCGCAAGCCATCTTGGCGCGGGCCATCTTGGCGCGGATGAACTCACATCAAGAAAAATAGATATAAATATGCAAAAATTGCACCCTTTGTTAGCATAACCTTATTTTTATAGTCACCAACGCGTGGAGGGCTAATGTCGACTTTTTAATGGACACACGGGCGCTTCGCGCCCTGCACCCCATTATAAACATACCCCTAAAAGTGGAACTTCTTGCTCCGTGGATTATTAGTTATTACCATTTGTGCAAATGAAACTGTGTATTTGGTTGCTTACATTTGGCATAAATAACAGGGTGCTAACCACAGTACGAACAAAAAATATTTTTTATATTATATACCTACGTACTCGCGCCAAGTTGGCTTTGCGCCAAAATGGCCCGCGCCAAGTCGGCCGCGCCAAATAGTCCCATTCCGACCCTACGTTCCTACGTGTTGGGCAATATTATGTCCTAATATGAAATTTATTATTTATGGATGGAATATTAAACAAGTATAAGAGAAAACTTAATGTTATACACGTGACAAAAATGCCAGTATAAGCTTGTGAATAGCGTAACATTCGCACTTCGTGCTCGTGTACACTACACTCACTCACCTATTACTGGCTTATTTTTGTCACTTATATAATACATAACTATTAATTTTTCGAACTTGGATTTTATTCGTCAAGGCGTACATGCTTACAATAAAGGACAATAATATATATAGTAGCTGTATATATGCCAAATTATTGTCTTAAAATTCAGATTGACGATTTTCTTTACATGTGTGTACGATATACACATATTTTATAGCATAATACATGAAGAACTAGATGTATATAAGAATAAAAAACAATAAATATGAGTGAATAATACTTACTTTCTTCTTCCCGATATTCAACAATAAATTTAAAAATTCTGTCAGAGTCTTCAGATTTATGTTGCCACTTAATGTTGATACTAGTACTACTTGTCGTAGTTGCTTCGAGATTTTGAGGACTAACAGGTGGTTCTTGTACTATTAATTGAACCAGTTGTTGATCTTTGCCGTACATATTGCTCGCCTGGCAAAAATATGTTCCACTGTCAGTAGATTGGGCACTAGCAATTTGCAATTCTGCTGTTACACCTTTTGCCGTAACGTCTTGTTTAACACTTGTTCTATAATTTGAAGACGGATTCATTTCATATTTACTGTCACGTAGCCAAATGACGTTAATTGGTTTATCACCATTTACATCGCATTTTAAAAACGCTGTATCTCCCTTTCTTACGGACACTAAGCGAGATGGAGCGGCAAAATATGGTGGTGCTATAATAGTATGAAAGTATATAATACAACATAAATGGTTATACTTACAATTAACTCTTAACTGAATAACCTTTCCAATTACAGGGCCTATTCCGTTTTCCGCTTGGCACAAATAGTAACCCTCACGATCTTCCTTCACATGCTGCAAAACGAGAGTACCATTTCCTAACAGCCTGGTGTATGTATGATCTTTTAAAGTTTCATAGTCTCCTGATTTTCCGGCTAAAAAAGATATTTCAAATAGAATGTATGCAATTTTTAATCTCTTCATTACAGCCTGATTTATCGCAATTCGTTTCTGACAGTATCTTATTTAAATCGTATTTCAAGGTAGTCTTAAATAATCATGCGAGTGAAATGGTACCTATTATAATCGATTTAACTACGATATTGTCTCTACAACCATTAAAAAGTTCTCTAAAATTATTTAGACACAGCTTCCCAATCCTGGAAGTACAATGAAACAAATGTTACTTAGATAAATTATAAAATCTAGTTTTACTAATCTTATTTTCACTTCCCGAGCCCAAGGTAATAAAATATTGTATTAAAGTCCGTGTAGCAAATGACTAATTTCATGTTTTCTCAACGTTTCATGACATCTAGAGTATGAAAAAATACCTCTCCACTTTTCATCTGTCTGTCGTCTGTATGCGTTTTTTTATTCGACAGATAATTCCCGAACCTATAAGAGTGATTATTCTGAAAGTTTATATGTATTTTAGGAATATCATATATACTGCAAAAGGCTAGCCAAAAGTTATATGATCCTGCCCATCAACAATTTGATGACGTCATTTCAAAATTTTGCATAGTAATTGCTGCCTAAATCCTATAAATCACATATTTGCGGCTTATTTCTCTCATCTAGATTTTTGGAAAGAAAAACTTATCACATCATGTAACTTAACTAATAAACTGCAAAACTGGTTGATTTGAAATCTTGCAAGCTTTTTGAGGTTATCCTCAGTATATTATATCGTCAACCCACATTTGTTTGTTTATCACCTCAAAAACTAGATGACTTCATCTCAAACTTTTGCTTGGTACCTTAATTCCGATCTAAAATGTGTAATATATTATGAGGCTATGCAATTAATATTTTTTGGAATTACTTATACAGGAACAGGCGAAAGAATTTATTAAAGAACCAGTTTATTATATCGACCAAATCAGGAACTGTTCACCCTCTCTTTGCGATAATTTGTAAGTACAATACCTACTGTTATTATTAGTATTAGACTGGACTAGTTCAAATATTTAGATATACGTGGTCTTGCTCAAATGTAATGAGGTCATCATATTTTTTTTTACTTCCCGAGCGTAAGCAAAGGAAATATTGTAATCGAGTCCGTCGGCCGACTATCTACATTTTCTCTTTCATGACCCTTAAAAGACGAAGAATTAGGTCTCCCGTTTACGACCGTCTGTCCGTCTGTCCGTCTGTCAGCCGTCCCGGATTTTTATTAGACAGATAAGTACTTACTGGACCGATTGTTGTGAAATTTTGTATTTATATTAGGAATATCATGTAGATGGTAAAACGCTAACCAAAATTTGCCTAATCATGCCCACCAATAATGTGATGACGTCACTTCAAAATTGTACATGGTAAATGGCTTTTAAATTGTATAAAATAACCGAGGGGTTAATCACTCGTGAATTCTGGTGTACACTTGAGGTGAATTCCATCAGAAATCTTTGCAAATTTCTGAAATCATAGGAACTCATTTGAACTTTTTGATTTTTTTATGAATTCCGTCTAAATTCTTGAATTCATGTGAATTCGCGTGAATTCTCTGTGAATTCGCGTGAACTCTCTGCGAATTCGTGTGAATTCGTGTGAACTCTTTTTGAATTCTATTTGAAATCTGCACGGTTTTGTTAACCTTGACTAAACCAATGAAGTCTCTTCGCGCCAATTCATGGTGCAGTGTGCAATCATCGGAGCACAGCCCCTCCATCGGAGCAACCACTGCTTTTCCCGGCGTAATTTCCAGAGATTTCTTGTCGTTTATGCCTTAACTGAAAAGAAAAAATGAGTGACGTTCCGAATCTTGATTTAAGTCGAAATGTAAGTTTATATTTTTTGTTTTTATGTTCATGCATGTAGATAATAATTTTTTCCAATTTTAATCGTTAAAATTATGTTTTAATCATTGTTTAGAGCTTATTTGAAACCAGAAGTACATCGAGCGGGAAGGATGAATGCGCGAAGCGCGAAAATGAGCGAAGAGTATGGACGAGTCAGTGGCGGACCATTAGTGTTGTTATTGGGGTTTGTACGTGCTCGCGTTAGTACATATAAGAACGTACAAAACAGGTCCAAAGAGTAAAGGAAGTTCGTTCTCGACGCCGCTGATTCTGTGAAAGTAGTGCTCATGCGCACTGAATAGTGCTTCAAATACTGGTATCTGCGCTCTTTTATTGCTGTGTACTTCTGCTTTCAAATAAGCTCTAGTAACTATGAAAGTTGGTCTTCGTTCATACTGTGATCAAAAAAATTTAATCATAAGTGAGGTAAAAACTTTGATCATTGGTCAAAAGTATCGTATTCTTTACGATATCTTTCTTCAAATTTTGTAGTCAGCAACTTTCCTGCTGCAGTCTGGGCTTCTTCTTCAACATTTGGAGGCGTTGTATCCATTTCTTCTACCAGTTCTTCCATACTTTCAACTCAAAAACACCACGTAAATGGAATCAGACCATTCGAGAAAAATTGTTGATTTATTTGTGCCCGTCACTATGGATATTAAATTTATCTCCGGCAACTCTGTGCATTCGACGATCTTTGATATGAACGAAACTTTTAAACAACGAAACAGCGCCTTTGCCGAATGACTCAGAAATTATCGTAGTAAATGAAAACGCGAAACAGCAAGTGGCAACCATTTTCAAGGACTTGAATATTCTTGTAATAGAGAATGATTTTTTATCACAAATTCGGGGTGTTGAAACTCTAGAAAAAAAACTAGGACTAGACAAGACAGTAATGAAAGTGATATTAGTGATTTTGATAGCGAAACGGAAGAGACTAATTTTGAAGAGACTCCTTACAACGACCCGAATGGGGTAGAAGAAATCTCTGAAGTGACTTTAGACAATTCAACAGTTACTGTGCAAGATGGCAATAAAACTGTTGAAATAAAAAAGAGTACTTATTGTTGGTTACTGCAAAACTCCAATTGCCATCAAAGCAGTGATAGGTTACGAAGAGTTATTGGAAAATAAAATTCTCATTTGTATTTTGCTAAGAGTTTTTATATTATTTTTGTTTTTTGTTTATAGAATTGAAGGTTTTTTTTTTGGTACTAATATTTATATGAATATTTTATTGTTTATGTTTGATTGTTTTTCTTTAGTATATATATTTTTTTAATTCGTCTCTTGCGTATTATTCTTTAACTGTAATCCAGATCCAGAAATTATACTGCAAGAAAAAATAAAAACTGGGTATAATAGACCTTGGAGTTAACACAAAATTAACCCTCAGGTTAACCCAAAATCCAACCAACTCATTGCTATAATAAATAATATTAAGCTGTGAACTCGCTTGGATCGGCAGAAATTTATTTGAATGCAACATGAATTCCATGAATTCATTTGAATTCAACGTGAATTCGTGTGAACTCGCCATGAAGTCATGTGAATTCGCCATGAATTCATGTGAATTGTGTTTGAATTCATTTGAGTTTCCGAATCATGATTTTTTTTCCGAATTCTTCTTACAAATTCATGAAATCTGAATTTGGTGTACACAAATTTTAGAAGTGATTAACCCCTCGAAAATAACATAGTCCTGTATAAGTAGTTTATAACTCCGTATTGAGTGTTTACCCGAAACGTCTAGATTTTTTGAGAAAAAATCAAAATTATGAAACAACACTTTGCAATTTAATTTGAAATCTGCAAAACCGAACGCTTTGAAATCTTGCAGATGATTTACAGTTATGATAATCATGATAAATTTTTCTTCAAAATATATTTCCTTGTCCCCTCCAAAAAAATGATGACGTCACCTCAAAAGTTTACCGCATAAAGCCTATCTAAAATGTACAAAATATTATTATTATTATTATTATTATTGTTAAGCATGTTCAACAGAGTTGACCTCCAATTACAGAACATACATCACAGAATTTAATATTTAACAGTAAAATTTATTTCACTATTTTCTTCCTTTAAAACAAAAATTTAATTCAAGATAAATCCGAATATTCAAGACTCCTCAGCTCATTGACAGTGGTATGAAATAAGTCTAGGTGTATATTCACATAGTTCCCTAGCCTGCACATTGTTTGTAATGGTGAATATTTCAACACATTAGTACGCGGCGTGTGATTATAAAATAATGATCCTTGCCTCGAACTGTAAGATCTTACGTTTACATGGAAATTGATCTGTGCAAGTAAACTGGGACAATCTAAAATTGAATTTAGTAATTTTTGTAGGAATATGACTTTCGCTACTTTACTTCTTTGAGTAAGAGTTTGAACAGCAAACCTTTCTAAAAGTATGTTCTGGGAGTATCCTACACTAGGATAGAATCCATCAGTTCTGAAACATAGATATTTTAGGAATCTTCTGAGCACTCTTTCCAAATTGACTATATGACACTTATAATGTGGAAACCATACAACGGATGCATATTCCAACTTGCTCCTGACAAACGCATTAAAAATTTTTAATAAAGTAGAATTGCTAGAGAATTCTCTAGCGTTGCGAATTACATATCCATAAACCTTAAGTGAGCTATTTACCGTCCTCTGAACATGTTCTGCAAATGATAATTTTTTATCAAATACCACACCCAAATCGGTAACTACTTCCGGTCTACTGAGTAGGAAATCCTTTATTGTGTAATTCCACAATATTTCATCAAACTTAAGTCCGAAAGACATAACAACACATTTGTTTTTATTAACAGGAAGCTTGTTCATGCGACACCATTTTGTAACAAAGTCAAGGTTGTTTTGAAGAGTTTCACAATCCGAAGGATTGCGGATGATAGTAAAAATCTTTATGTCATCCGCGTATAGTAGACATGGTACATTCAGCTCCGCCACGAGATCATTAATAAATAAATTAAATAGCAAAGGTCCTAGAACTGATCCCTGGGGTACCCCTGAAGTCGCTATGAATTCCTCTGAAGAAAAACCATGAACGAAAACATATTGTTTACGATTACACAAGTAAGAAGAAAAAAATTCGACAACTCTTGG